TAAATAAATTATCATAAAATATATATTTCAAAAATTTTTAAAATTAATATTAAAAATTAAATAATAATAATAAGAATTTATTGATTAATACTAAAATAGAATTAAATAATTAATAATACTAATAACAATTTAATATTTAATAATAAGCCAATTTAATATTTAATAATTAAAAAAATAATAAATTAGTTTTCAACACTTCCCTTCTTCGGTAAATTCTGACACAATTTACGGTCACAAAATTTTTTGCGTTGGTAAATTTTTTCCAACGGCCATATTTTTGACGGAAGCTTTTGCATCGGTAACACTATTTACAACACAAATTTCTGTCTTACTGATGCATTTTTTGCATTAGTAATTCATCTTTTTCTTGTAGTGTTGCTTGACTTTGTTTTTATGAGGAAAACGTAAAAGCATGCTCAGGATCATGTGATTAATTTCAAGCACTAATTAACAATTGACTTCTAGAATGATAATGTAAATTCAAATATAAAGTCAGGTGTTTCACTACAACAAAACAATCCTTTAGTGATGGAAACTTTTTGTCGCTAAAACCAATAAAATCCGTCGCTAAACTCATTTAGGAAGGAAAAAAATCTATTGGTAAAACAGCTGCCACTAATTTAGTGACAGAAATTCCATCACTAAATTACCAACAAAAATTCCATCAGTAAATACCGTTGCTAAATTTCGTTACTAAATTATCAACAAAAATTCTATCGCTAAATTACCAATAAAAATCCCATCACTAAATTACCAACAAAAATTCTGTCGCTAAATTACAAACAGAATTCTGTTGCTAAATTCCATCATTGATTTTGCTTTTGATTGAAAATTTACAATTAAATTTTTGTTGGTAATTTTTTTCCATTACAAATGCCTATTTCTAATGAAAACATGTATTTCATTTTCATAAGCTTAATGTAATGAAAATAATGTAATTTTCTCATAATTAATTAAAAAATACAATACAATCATATATTGATAGAAAATACAATACAATCATGAAAATATATATAATATTCGACAAGTTTTCAAAGTCTTACTTCAATATACATGTTTGCAAATTTAACCATACAATAACTACACATAATATAATAACAACTACCTAATACTTCATTAGCAAACTTGTTATATCCAAATCCATACACAAAACCCTTAGACATGCCACCAACTATTGCTACCCAAGTAGTATCATATCCAGGTTGGGAAGTAGACTTATCAATGTCATATTTTTATGACTAAACATCCTCGTATTCATCCTGTTTACACAAGTAAAATAGGTACACCGAATTAGAAATAACATATTTACTACTCATATATTAATAACAAGTAAAATGAAATTAATAATTCACTTACCTGAACTCTCTTTGATTTATTGTCAACATATTCACCTTTTCCTTTATCTTTTTTGTAGGTATGATCAAATTGACTGCAGTTATATGAACCTAGATTTATGACTCTCCACTGAGGAGGACTACCTTTTAAAGACTTGCTTGTTTGCAAAGTTCTTGCACTTTTCTCAGAAATTTTATGTTAATGGTTGACTAGTGTTACATTACCAGCATCAAGTTAGTTAGTCCCCCCCCCTCCCCACAAAATAGAAAGTAGATGTAGATGGTGGGCGGAAGATAACTAATATTTTGTTGCTTATGTCACTAAATTATCATGTGTTCATTATCTGGAGAAATTAATGTGCTAATATTGTTATATTGCATTTCCTGTTCATCCATTTGCATGATCTTTGGATTCTTAACTATTGATTTGTTGCTTATCCTACTAAACTATCATGCCTTCATTTTCTGGAGGCAATTGATGTGCTGGTATTCTTAGAAATTGCATTTGCATGATGCTCTGAATTTACCAGAACCCAAGGCTTAGCCCAAGTGGTAGAATAAGAGGACATCCCCATCCCTGCTTCCTCAATCTATTAAAACAAAATTTCTTTACTGAAATAATTGATAACTCATGGATAGTGACTTCAATAAATGAACTGTCGCATCCAAAGTTGAATTCCAAATAGAAATGCTACTCAAAACTACAGTTAGAAAATAAATGAGACAGAAAAAGCCATACTCACAATAGAAGTTGATTTGGACTGAGAGGCGAAGTTTGCTTTTCAATTATTAGATTGCCAGTGAATGTGTACAAAGAATTGTTTGGTTGTTCACATTGTATTTCACCTAGAAAACAAAAAAATAAAAATACAAAAATACAAAAATCATAAGAATAGAAAACAAAAAGAAGTATATCAAATTTATGTGCAACAAGAATGATATCAAATTTGTGTGAAAACTCATATTATCCAAGATTTGATCTTATCTCAACTCACAAAGATTTGAAAGGCCTATTTGTTTCTCATTCTAGTCTCTTTAGGGATAATATTTCGATAACACCACACTATTCTTGTCTTAAAATCATTTGACTAGGAAAGTGATAAAATTTTAAATGCAGGACATTACTTAGCTGACACAACATTACACACTCCCCTGTCCCAACAAAATATGATCACACACACACAAAAGATGACAAGAAAAACAAATTTGTAACACCACATCACAGTTTAATTGACATTACAAACATAGAACTTGAGATGTTGATGTTGATCGAGATTTGAAAATGTCCACATCAGAAAGAAAAGACTATGCTTTAGGAGGCAGAAGACCATTGCAAGAGGAGAAGCAGTAATAATTCATTCATTTCTTTCTAATTGACAATAATAACCAACACAAGCCAAACAGAAGTAGACATTAGATTATTGGTATTTTGTTCTCATCTCCAACCAAAGGGATTCAATTTGTAGAGAGAGAATGATAGACTTTCTATGTAAAACTCTGTTTAGATATTTAGATTGTTGCAGACAAGGAAAAAATAGAATCAATAAGCATTGTACCCCTACAAAAATGATACGACTGAGAGTGAGAAAAAGAGTGGGACTGGTGGGAGTGGGTATGAGAATACCACCCCCTTCCCCGTAATAATTGAGATATCCACTATTGGAGGGCAACACATTGTCAAAATGGACCAGGAACAAGGAATATTTTCTTAAAAGTACTGAAAACAACAATTTGGAAATTTGGAACACATTCCAAATACTATCTAGGAACTTTTAATGATACTCCAAATGAAATAAGAAAGAGCTATCAAAAAATTCTGACAAAAAGAAATGCAAAACATCAGGAATAATTTCAAGGGATTAATTTATCTTGATAAACTTTACAAATATAGATTAAAAGATTTGCAGTAAGTTCTCTAATCAATTTTCTTCAACTGTAGGAGTTTCTATTGATGTCCATTTCAAAAATTAGACAAATAATAACAATAATAATAATAATAATAATAATATCATATAGGGAGGGTCAGCCTTCAGAAAATGTTTTTAGTTAGTTCAGCGAATGCATTCCAATTTGATTTGGGCAACACTAAAGCCTAAGACACCAGCTTTTTATACTAATTTTTTTTATTTTAATCAGTTCAACTGGATTGGATCAGTTTTGAACACCCCTATCAATAGGCTGTACTGTGTGTGTCAACAATTGAACAAATGTCAACAGCAATAGCTGCTCCCTTCAAATGCAATGTGAGACTTTGGTGTTAATATTTAGCATGTTCTATATTTTGATCACTATTCCTTAGTTATTTCATTGTGAATCTTTTGATCGCTATTCTTTAGTTATTTCATTGTGAATCCGCGCAGTAAATATCATGGGCAGAAGTTTTTTGTCGATATTCTATAGATAATTAGATTTTTTTTCGTGTTTCGTCACTGATTGGGAGGAAAATTAGTGTAGGAAATATTTGGTCACTAATCCATCATTAATCTCCGGCTAAAGTTTAGCAAGGGAGATGATTCATCACTAATTTTTTGCTAAATAGAATTAAATTTGTTAAAAGAAGATTTTTTGTTGCTAAGCCATTGGTAAGTGCTTCTAGAGATTAGTGGGCAACTTTAACCCTCGCTTATCCATTGCTACAACTCAAAAGAAAAAAAAATAATAATAAAAATTGCGAGGAAGTTCCTCGCTACTCCGACGTTGTTTTTAATTCTAGTAACGAACAACTTCTGTTGCAAATCTGTCAGTGATCGGCAACAAAATAACAAAGGGTGTTTCACATCGTTAATTTAATTTTCCTCTTGTAGTGATAGTGTCAGTTGAATTCTTTAGTTTCATTTTTTTATAAATTCTAAAGAATCATCAAAAAATTAAAATAATATAAAATAAACTACCTGTTCTCTAGTTCTTAAAATCAAAAAGAAATGCAGGAATGAAAATTGCGGAGTTGAAGAAGGAAAACTTCGTCGAAGAAATCGTCCGAGTGCATAAAAGGTCCTGAGAAGCAAAGTCGGTTGACCCGGTAAACCTTGGTCGTTGTTTGTCGCTTTGTTCAACCCAAGTTTGATGATTTCGGTTTTTGGTTTTTCTGTTATAAATATTATATTAATTGCTCTTATATTTTTCTTGACTCACTTGACTTGTTAGACGAAATAAATTAAGTATTTTCTGATTATATATTTATTATTTACTTGTAAGAAAATGGAGGAATCAATTATATGCATATTAATTAATAAACAAAAGTGAAAACTTAATTAGTTATATTTCTACTGTACACTGCTCAAGGAAACCACGTGAATCATTCCATCGGCCATTTCATTTTCTGGGTTGACAATTGATTAATGCAAAAGCTACTTTTCAATTAATTTTTTGGCTAAGACAAAATCGAAGAGTCCAGAAGGTCATCAAGTGCAGTCGTGTACACGGTATGACCGACCACCCACGTATCTTCTCCGACAAGTAAAGATATTCTCTCTCCTTTCCTCTTTCTTTCCCTCTCCACATGAAGATTTTCTAGGACTTTTTCTTTTTTTTTTAATTGATTTTCTGGAGCAATAAGGACCTGAATCTGTTCTGAAGATTTTCTCTATAAATAACTAATGGAAATGAACTCCTGGCACATCTACCTCTCACTATCTTTCTCAACCAGAAACGTAGTATCACCTTGCCATGGGTCATCTGTCACGTCTTTTCTTGATCATTTTTTGTTCCTTACCCTTCAAATCCCTCACAGAAGCTAAAATTGGAGGATTCACGGTTGAGATTATTCCTCGTCACTCAAAGCTCTCCCCATTCTATAATCATTCTGCTACGCTTAGAGATCGATCAAGGAATGACGCCTTTCGATCCATAGCGCGGGCGAAACGCTTCAATCCATCTTCCTTATACACTAACTACATTGGATCTGTCGTATATCCAGGTGAGGGAGAATATCTCATGAGGCTCTCAATTGGGAATCCTCCAATTGAAGTTCAAGCAGTTGTCGATACCGGGAGTGATCTTGTTTGGGTTCAATGTGCACCCTGTCAGCAATGCAACAATCAAAATGCTCCTCTCTTCAATCCCATGGCATCTTCTACCTACGCTGGGCTTCCCTGTAATTCTCAACCTTGTCAAAATTTAATAGAAAGTCAATGTAGCGCATCAAATTACGAGTGCCTATACTATTCTACTTACGCAGATAAGTCATATTCGAGTGGAACCTTGGCTATAGACACCTTGACCTTCGATCCCATCGATGGCCAAGGTGCTACTTTGTCCAACGCCGTGTTTGGCTGTGGGCACGACAACGGAGGCAACCTTGGTTCCGGACTTGTAGGCCTAGGGGCGGGACCGCTATCCTTGGTTTCTCAACTGGGTCCTCATATTGATTATAGATTCTCGTACTGCTTTCCTGCCACGAACTCTGCCAGTAAACTCAAGTTTGGAGGAGAATCAATTCTGTCAACGCCTGGAGTGGTTTCAACCCCCTTAACATTTTCTAGCTTACAAAGTTACTACTATCTCACTCTCAAAGGAGCAAGTGTAGGGAACAAGAAGATAGTAAATAGTGAGGTGTCCTCCAATGAAGGTAACATTATCATCGACTCCGGGACAACCCTAACTATGTTGAAATCAAGCTTTTATAATAATCTGCAAGCTGCGTTGAGGGAGACAATTAATTTGGAGACAATCCCAGACCCAGACGAAAATTATGGCTTGTGTTATGATCAACGTTCATTTAGCAATATCCCCGAGATGACAGTGGTGTTTCACTTCAATGGAGCAGACATTCCACTCAAGAAATTCAACCTGTTCAAAGCCATATCCACAAATTTGACTTGTCTGGCAATGTTACCTACAGATGGTGAATCCATATATGGCAATAGGGCTCAAATGAACTTTCAGGTGGAGTATGATCGTGCCAACAATCAGGTCTCCTTTGCCCCTGCAAATTGTGCTCAGTTCTAAGAATTCGGTTTTTCCAGGCATTCTCCTATAAGATCCTTGCTTGTACTACGTACTCACCTAATGTTATTATTGACCATTGTTCCCTTTGCAAATCATGGATCGTTAACAAAATATAAAATTTGTGGTTGCTTTACATCTCCTATTAGGCTATAACCATTGATAGATAAGGTTGAGACAATTATTAGGAACTTATCTTACATTCTTTTCAGAGGATGTATGCAAATGTCTCTATAATGTTTGATGACTCCGACAATTAGTTGTTTGTTAAATTAATTATGATTTCCTTAAAATATTTCCACAAGAAGACTAGATGTTTTATTTTGATTCACTCCTGCCATACCACAGAGACAAAGAATTTGAATTCATTAAGTAATTTTTATGCCTTCATAAAATTTTCATTACATGGTGAATTAATTTTGTAATTCTTATTCTTTTGGTCTAATGCATCGACTTAATGGGTGTGTAATAAAGAGGACAGAGGGAACAAGTTTCAGGGGCAATTGAGTCATACTAATGGCCTTTAACTGCTGACATCGGTTTGGATGGTTAACTGAAAAAAAGTTTAATTTATACCGAAAATTAAAATGGAGTGGACGTCGGAATTATTTTTGCAAAGATGAGGACTGCAATTGAATTTCAAAAACCTCATAAATAAATGGACAAGTAACAGGAGGTCTATCATTATCTATTGGTTGATTGACGTTGATCCTGGAAAAGTAGTGTGAAAACGCTTTTCGGCAGAAATGTCAAAAAGAAAAGGCGCATGAAAAATTTGCTTTTGGGCAGGGAGCATGCATTCACACGTACAATTGTGAAACAAGTTGTGCTTTCAAAAGGAGGAAATCTTTTTTTTATTTTGTTTTTGTGGGTTAAATTTACATCAACCCAATACTACTTTTGGATATGTGTAAAGAAATTAAGTTGATATTATATAAAAATTTTAAAAAATGATGAGATTCAATATTAAGTTCTAAGAGAGGAGAGAGTATATTTGGAGAAGGGTGAAAATTCAAATTTTAGATTTTCCTTTTTAAGAAGTTGGAACTTATTGTAAGAGTTCATTTGAACTTATTATCACCACTAGCTTAAAATTATTGGAACATTTTTAGTTATTAATACAATTATGACATTTTATTGCATTTTTTATTTACTTAGATAATTTTATATTTGAATGTGTTGTTTATACACACTTGATTTGGCAAATGAAAAATTTATGTTTTGATTAGCTATGGATTTGCCACAGAATAACTATATTTTAACTATACTTTTCTTAGAAATTAGCTACGGATTGAATTAACTTGATAATATATTAGTGACAGGTTAGCAAGGAAATTAGCAAGAGATTAGCAATGATATTGCTAGAACCTTGTTATGTCTTAGTGAGGCAATTAGCGAGGGATTAGTAGGGGATTAGTGATAGTTTTTCTAGAATTTGGTTACATATTAGCAACCGATTGGAGACGATTTTTTTTTTAAGTAAGGCATCATTCAATTATCCCATAATTTGCGCTTAGTTCTGGGAATTTGATTTCTTCAAGCATGTCCTCCGTTAAGATACTTGCTTGTAGTACTACTAGTTGTTATTAGTTAGCTTTGCTTCTCTTTCTCTCTCTATTTGCTTACCCGTAGCTACCAATGCCATGGTTGTTGGCCCCCACCACTGTCGATGTTGCCTGGTGTCGCTGATGAGCTGATGGCCAAAGACAACCACTAAGTGAAGATAAGACAAAGAATTGGTTCTATATCCACATTTGTAATCCGTGGGTCCGACTACGTCGTGCTAATCAATTGGTGGGTTTGACTACGCGGTCTTTGCTTTCGTACTTTATGTTCTCCATCTTCTACCAATACATGGAAGACCGTCACTTTCATTACAAATTTGTAACCATTGATTGTTCCCCCAAGTCACTAGCCACACCCATGCTCCTCCTCTCAAAGACCACAACAACTGGCGAGTCTAGGAGGTTGGCTGCATCGTACTTGTGATACCCCAAAATTTTTGGGGTATTATGCTAATTTGGAAAACTTTTAGGACTAGAGAGAGAATAACTAAAATAGTGGGACTTAATTGAATTAATTAAAACAGTCAGGGAATAAATCGAGCAGAATCAGAAAAACAGGGATGAATTTGGAAGAAATCAAAAGTTTTAGATTTTGATAACTCCTTCGGATTTCTACAAGATTTGATATCAAAAATTCGTGCATATCATTAAAGATTTTGGCTCGATTATGGCCACAATAAGAATTGATTGAGGCTTATGCAAAATCACCCCAAGACAATTTCTACAGATTTCCTAAAAAATCTCAGGAATTTTCCCTCTTCCATTCGTCACAGCCGTAGAATGAAGAATCAGTAATTCTATGAAATTGTCTAGAATCGATCGAGAAAACCTACACACTAGGAGTCGCCCGATCCTTCCAAGTACAGTTGTAAAGGTTGATTCCAGAAGTTTCAGCAGGCTCCAGGTAAATTTCATGCCTTCATGAATTCGGGATGTTACAGGTTGAGACAAATAGACCCAGAAAGGTCTAGGTCTATACTGGGTCCGGCTTATAGGCTAATTGGGATCCAATTGTCTGCTAAATGGGTTTGGGCCTTGCCATGGGTTGGGCTTGGTGGTGGAATTAATGCAGTGGGCTAGCCCAGAGTGCTGTTGGGTTTTGGATAGACCCAAGTCCATGATCCAAAAACAGAAAATAATAAATAGAAAAAATAAATAAATAAATAAAGAGAAGATGAAAAAGAAACCGGCCGATTCACATGAATTTAAATTGATTCTCTTCTGGTTCAGACCACAATAAATTAGGTAAATAAGTAAACCAACTGGTTCAATGTTGATTTAATTATAAAACCACTGTTTTAAGCCTGGTTCACAGAGAATTAGGCATCAAACCGACTGGTTCAGTGCCTTTTTGGGCCGGTTCAGTACTTTTTAGTTCGGTTCAAAGCCAGTTCAGGGTAGTGAAAGATGAGATTTGGCCGGTTCAGTAATATAAGGCCCGGTTCATGATCCATTTAGTACATTAAATGATAGCTTTGAGTTTAAATAGACAAGTTTTGATATTTTAAGAGATTTGTTCATGATTTTGATACTCGGCTCATGATTCATTTGACCGGTTCGGGACCTTAGTGGTCGTAGTTTAGGTTCAGACACGAAAAACCTATAATTTTATTTGGTTTTGTGATTAGGAAATTTCCTTTATTGATTATTAGAGGCATAAATTGAAATATGTTATTATTTCATGATTTTAGATTGCTCGTACGATCTGGTTGAGCCCATATTGTCAGATATTAGAATTTTTTGATTTCCGTCATTCTATGAGTAATAATGTGTATTTATAAGCCTTTCTGCTTTCTATATCTGAAATAAATCTAGTTTTATATTATATATCTGTTTTCTAAAAGATTTGCTTAAATTTTGTTAAACTGTATAACAAGGGACATGCATGTAATTTTTGAAATTATTTTGGAAACCTATATGTTATTTACATTTGATTTAGTTACATCAGTAAATTGAAAGATTCTGTTAAACTGTTCTATTATTTTTGAAAAAATGTTTTGAGGGAATTTCAAATTTTAGAACATTGCAACTAACGGCATTATGCATTAGTCTGATTGCACCTTGTATGGGTCCCCATCTAGCAGGGGTGATGGTACTAGACTTTTTAGATTTCTATTTATCGGCATGATTGATATGTTGTCATTCTGTTATCCGGTATGACTAATATGTTGTCATCTGTTATTTGGGTAGACTGATATGTTGCCAATCCTGTTATCTGGGTATATGTTGCCATTTTGATTACCGACTGACTATGTGTTGCCACCTTGATATCGGCTGACTATGTGTCGCCTTTCTGTTTCCTGATATATGTTATGTTTACGATTACGAACTCTATAAACTATGAAAAATGTTTGTGAAAAACCTGTTTTCAATAAATTACATGTTATATCTGTACGCATGTCCTTTATTCTCATAGATGCAGATTATTATTTACTGGGTCTATGGACTCACCCTTATTTTTTTTCAGATTCTAAATACGTTAGTCTGGTGGATCCTACTATCTGAAAGGAGTCCGCATTATCAGCTGTTTTCTATTCAGATTTTATTTTCGGAGTTAGTTATTTAGTTTCTATCAGACTTTGTACTCCTGAGATTTTAGTATACTTCATTTAACTATAGACAGGATTTCTATTTTGTGTTGACAATTGAGTATTATGGTTTGGATTTCATTTTGATTTATATCAGATTTTCTGTTCAGTTAAAATTTGTATTTCTGTTAGGCTTGTGGGGTTGGGATTTATTCTAACCCTTGCGCCGGTCACGTATCTAATTTTGGGTCTTGACAAAGTTGGTATTAGAGCTCTAGGTTTTTTGTGTTCGATGGGGCAGTCGTTTATCTGTAGAGTTTCGATTATGGTTGTGAGCCGGCCACTCTCATAATCTAGACACTATAGAAGGGCAAGTAGGTGTTTTTGTTCTCTGAATTCAATTGTTAATCCGATCTTACTTTCATTCTTCCTCTTGTCATATGCTATTTGAAATCACTTGATAGATAGACCCTTCGTACGAAAATCACGATAAGGAGCTCAATATTGAGAATTCAGTGACTCCCGAGGCACCACGAGACAGGCCACCCTCTCCTGAGATACGATCAAACAAACAGCCCTCTGTGCTTGCACAAGGTAGAAGACGGGGTGGAAATAGGGGTAGAGGGAGAGGCCGTGGCAGGACTCCTAGTCGAGGTAGACAGATAGAGGTTGAGGATACTGCCCAACCTGCTAATACTTCGAACAAGTTAGCTGAGGTCTTACTTGGCATTCAAGGGACACAATAGACTATGATTACTATGATGAAGAAGATACTGAACCAAGGAAAGATCGGGACTCCAGTGAGTACATGTCCAGGAGTGCCACAAGTTAGTGTAGTTGGCCAACCGAGCTTAGTTGAGAGGACTCAAGAGATTCCCCTAGGGATTGGATAGGAGTCAATTCAGAAGAG